CCCCATCAGAGTCCCCCTTTCATCAGGTGTCCCCATCAGAGTCCCCCTTTCATCAGGTGTCCCCATCAGAGTCCCCCTTTCATCAGGTGTCCCCATCAGAGTCCCCCTTTCATCAGGTGTCCCCATCCGAGTCCCCCTTTCATCAGGTGTGTCCCCATCAGAGTCCCCCTTTCATCAGGTGTGTCCCCATCAGAGTCCCCCTTTCATCAGGTGTCCCCATCAGAGTCCCCCTTTCATCAGGTGTCCCCATCAGAGTCCCCCTTTCATCAGGTGTCCCCATCAGAGTCCCCCTTTCATCAGGTGTCCCCATCAGAGTCCCCCTTTCATCAGGTGTCCCCATCAGAGTCCCCCTTTCATCAGGTGTCCCCATCAGAGTCCCCCTTTCATCAGGTGTCCCCATCAGAGTCCCCCTTCATCAGGTGTTCCCCTTTCATCAGGTGTCCCCATCAGAGCCCCCCTTTCATCAGGTGTCCCCATCAGAGCCCCCCTTTCATCAGGTGTCCCCATCAGAGCCCCCCTTTCATCAGGTGTCCCCATCAGAGCCCCCCTTTCATCAGGTGTCCCCATCAGAGCCCCCCCTTTTCATCAGGTGTCCCCATCAGAGCCCCCCTTTCATCAGGTGTCCCCATCAGAGCCCCCCTTTCATCAGGTGTCCCCATCAGAGCCCCCCTTTCATCAGGTGTCCCCATCAGAGCCCCCCTTTACATCAGGTGTCCCCATCAGAGCCCCCCTTTACATCAGGTGTCCCCATAAGTATAACCTCACCCTTCCCCCTTGTACTCACAGATCTTCTCGTGAATGCAGCTTCTCCTTCTTTCCCTCCTTCGGTCATGTGATAAGTCACATGACAAGGGGAGAGAGGAAGGACACTCTGCCTTCACTCCTTAGTGCCGTCTGTCTATTGCCCCCGCAGGCAGAAGAAGGAGAAAGCCTAGTCCTCCCTCCAGCAAGTGCCAGCAGCTGCTCCCTGTTACAGGAGTGAAACTGCGATAACTCCGGTCACTGAGGAGCGACACCAGCAGTGCACCCCCCTCAACACAGTGCTCGGGGCAGGTTGGTGCTACTGGTAGCACCCGCCCCCCACCCTCCAATGTGGCGCCTTGGACACACTTGCCCACATGTTATTTTCACTAGCCAAATGCGAGCAGGCGAGTGGGAATTTCATGCCTTAGATTAGTGCATGTGGAAAGGGCAGTTTGTGTGTCTGGAAAGGCACCATCAATGCTGAAAGAGAAATCCTTGTTTTAAAGCACTCATCCAGACAACACTTTTTTTTTTTTTTTTTAACCACTTGAGCTCCAGAGGATTTACCCCCCTTAACCATTAGCCGCCCGGCCAATGGCCGTTTGGCGGCTTCAAAAGTGTCTCTGCACTCCGGGTGCACGCCATTTGGCGTGCTCCCGCACATGCGCAGTTTGCGCTAATGTAGAGCGGCGCAGCAGTGCGATCTGTCACCGGCCGTGCACCTCGGACACGGCCGATGACAGATCCGAGTACCGGCTCCCGTTGCTGGTACCATGTGACCTGCTGTGACCAATCACAGCAGGTCACATGACAGTTGTATACAATGGATGGCTTCATTCATGATGCCATCCATTGTATACTAGTGCCTAGCTGTGAATGGTCACAGCTAATCACATGCGCATGTCATGTAATTAGCTGTGACCAAATCACAGCTAAGCACAAAAAAAAAAAAAAAAAAAAAAAGCTGAATGAATCGATTTCATTCAGGTAAATGCTTACTTATAGCAAAGTAATTCTTTGCTATAAGCAAATAGTGTAAAAAAAAAAAAATACTGATCACTTCCCCATAGTAACATTGTACTACTTTGGTCATAGTAAAATATGAAAAAAAATCTTAAAAAAAAATTAAATATAATAAAAAAAAATATATATTTTTTTTTTTCCATACTGTCACCAGTCAGTGTCCCTGTTCACCGCCATGCCAGTTATATGATGACGCTGTACTGCACTGGTGACAGTATGTAAAAAAAAAAAAATAGTGAAAATAATTTTTTTAATTTTTTCATTTTCCAAAAAATTATGACAAAAAAATACAACTTCAAAAAACTCGCCATGCCTCTTATGAAGTACGTCGGACTGTCTACTCTGCAAAAAGGGGTCATTTGGGGGATATCTGTACTATTCTGACATTCTTGGACCTCAAGAAATTAGATTGGCTGTCAGTACTTCAGGATTGATCAATATTCAGATCTATACCATAGTTTGTGAACTCTATAACTTTCCTACAAACTAAAAAATACATCCTAATTTGGGTTATTTTCACCAAAGACGTAGCAGAATACATCTCGGTCTAAATTTATGAAGAACAATTATTTATTTGTAAACTTTTATAACAGAAACAAAGAAAAATGTTTTTTTTTCAACATTTTTGGTCTTTTTTTGTTAATTTAGCAAAAAATAAAAACCCCAGCGGTGAATAAATACCACCAAAAGAAAGCTCTAGTTGTGTGAAGAAAATGATAAAATTTTAGTTTGGGTACAGTGTTGTATGACCGCGCAATTGTCATTCAAAGTGTGAGAGCGCTGAAACCTGAAAAATGGCCTGGGCAGGAAGATGTAAAATTGCACGGTATTGAAACGGTTAATGACCAGGCCTCTTTTTGCTACTCGGCGCTGCACTAATTCAACTGATAATTGCGCGGTCATGCAATGCTGCACCCAAACGAAATTTACGTCCTTTTTTTCACACAAATAGAGCTTTCTTTCGGTGGTATTTGATCATCTGTGCGCTTTTTATTTTTCACGCTATAAACAAAAAAAGGCCAAAAATTTTGAAGAAAAAACAATATTTTTTACTTTCAGCTATAAAAAATATATAGTAAACTCAAAGTTGGTTATAAATTTAGGCCAAAATGTATTCTGCTACATGTTTTTGGTAAAAAAAATCCACTGACACTGTACTAATGGCACTGGGGAGGAAAGGGTTAACTATTTTGCAGGGAAGGGTTATCTGAGTGAGGGGGAGTGTTTTACTAGGGGCGGGGGTGTGTGCTGGACAGGACAAGGCTGATCGAGAGAGAGAAACTCTTCTGTCTCGATCAGCTCGTCCTCGAGCTGACAAGGAAGTGACAGATAGCACAGCTACTGCAGCTGCGCTCTCTGTCACTGTTTACCGCCAATCGCCGGGAAACAGCCGCTAAGGACCGGCTGTGACCCGGCTAAAGACATCCGCTGCAGTGATCGGTGGGACAGATAGGGCGGCGGCGCGCCTCCCTATTTGTTTACAAAACACACGTTTTAAAACGTGGTTTTGCCTGCCAGTGCCGCCCTGCCGCCGTATTTCTACAGTGGCTGGGCGGCAAGTGGTTAAGGAAGGCCTTGCATACACAGCAGGACAATGCTATACCGCATCCAGGGCAACAGCATTGCTTTGCAGTAGAAGATTCTGGGTGCCTATGTGGCCTTCTTGCAGTCCAGATCTTTCATATTTTCTGTTTCAAAATGTTGCAAATATTTTCAATTGATGACAAAGACCCAGGACTGTTGAGTAGTTAGAATCCTGTATCAGGTTCTCAGATGTTAAAAGAGGGGATGCTACGCCGTGGTAAACGTGGCCCTGTCCCAACTTTTTTGAGACCTGTTGCTGCCATTTTCAGGATTGGCTTTTTTTTTTCCCCTCATCTTAAAATAGTACATTTTCTCAGTTTAAACATTTTGATATTTTTTTATTGTGAAAAAACTATGGGTTTATAAGATTTGAAAATCATTGCATTCTGTTTTTATGTAAATTTTACACTGGGAAGCTCTAAAGCACTTTAGTTGCAGTGCCTCTTTTGGGTGGCCCAGGGAGGTCCTTACATATGACGTTAAAGAGTTCCAGCTGAGAAAAAAAATAAGCAACTACAAAAAGTGTAGCTGCTGAATTTTAAAATACAGCCGCTTTCCTGTCTCTCGGACTACGGTGGGGGGGGGGATGGAGGAGGACAACTTCTGCTTCCAATCGCCTAGGTGATCGCAGTGGAAGTGGGAGCGGGTACCTGTCAAATTCGGGTACCCGCTCCCCAAAGTTGCCAGTCCTCAATGGGGAGCGGGGGACAAAACATTACCACAGAACTTCCCCTTTTGGGTGGAGCTCTGCTTTAACTGCCTTCCCTCTTGATGCATCTGTTTTTTTCTTTTTGTTGGCTGTAAGCTAAGCTTTTTCTGGCTAGCTTGTTGACAGCACCTGATTCCTGTCTAAGTAGGTACAATTTCAGGAGGATTTAACCGATTTCCGACCACCCAATAGCAGAACTGCACATGGACAGTTGTGTTCAAAATAATAGCAGTGTGTTGAAAAAAGTGAATAAAGCTCAAAAGCCTTCTAATAGCTTTTATTTCCATACACACAAATGCATTTGGAACCCTACACATTCTATTCCAAATCAAAACATGAAGAAAAATATATCGAATTTGTGTTGTTCCTCTAAAAAAATTGAAGAAAAGTGAATATTAGACTGTTCAAAAAAAATAGCAGTTTGTATTCTTCTTTACAAACTCAAACATTCACTATATAAACTGAAAAATGTTTGAAGATTTTGCTTTCCTTTGAATCAATTAATATTTAGTTGTATAAGCACTGTTTCTGAGAACTGCTGTACATCTGTGTTGCATGGAGTCAACCAACGTCTGGCACCTGTGAACAGGTATTCCAGCCCAGGATGATTGGACTACATTCCACAGTTCTTCTCTATTTCTTGGTTTTGCCTCAGAAACTGCATTTTTGATGTCGCTCCACAAGTTTTCTATTGGATTAAGATCCGGGGATTGGGTTGGCCACTCCATAACGTCAACCTTGTTGGTCTGGAACCAAGATGTTGCACGTTTACTGGTGTGTTTGGGGTCGTTGTCTTGTTGGAACACCCATTTCAAGGGCATTTCCTCTTCAGCATAAGGCAGCATGACCTCTTCAAGTATTCTGATGTGTTCAAACTGATCCATGATCCCTGGTATGTGATAAATAGGCCCAACACCGTAGTATGAGAAACATCCCCATATCATGATGCTTGCGCAACCATGTTTCACTGTTCTCACAGTGTACTGTGGCTTGAATTCAGTGTTTGGGGGTCGTCTGAGAAACTGTCTCCGGCCACTAGACCCAAAAAGAACAATCTTTCATCAGTCCACAAAATGTTGCGCCATTTCTCTTTAGGCCAGTCAATGTGCTCTTTGGCAAATTGTAACCTCTTCAGCACGTCTTTTTTTTCAACAGTGGGACTTTGCGGGGGCTTCTTGCAGATAGCTTGGCTTCACAGGTAACTTTAGACCTTCTTTGATCTTCCTGGAGCTGATTGTTGGCTGAGTCCTTGCCATTTTGGCTATTCTTCTATCCTTTCGAATGCTTTCTTCCACATCTTTCAGGTTTTGGTTGCCATTTTAAAGCATTTGCGATCATTTTAGCTGAGCAGCCTATCATTTTCTGCACTTCTTTTATATGTTTTCCCCTCTCCAATCAACTTTTTAATCAAGGTACGCTGTTCTTCTGAACAATGTCTGGAATGACCCATTTTCCTCAGAATTTCAGAGCGAAATGCACTGTAACTAGCATGTACAACATTTGCTGCCTTCCTTCCTTAACCAGTTGCCGACCGCAGATAGCCAAATGACGGCTACACTGTGGGCGGCCAGTTCTGGGAGGGTGTCCTCCCAGAACGCGCTCTCGTGCGCACCCTCGGCGGTCTCCGTGATCACTGTGTCCTATGGACACAGGTGATCATGTGATGTGGTAAAAGGCCAATCACAGCGGTTTTTTTACCACGTGATCAGCCGTGTCCAATGACACGCTGATCACAGGGAAATGCAATTGCCGGTTCTCGGGCTGCACTTTCCTTATGCTGTCAGAACGTAGGGAAAGTACTGCCGAGAACCGTCAGTTGTCAGAGCAGGGGTCAGCACTGATGATCAGTGTCCTGATGATCGGTGCCCAGCAGTGCCATCCAACTGTGTCACTTACCTGTGCCCATCAGTGCCACCCACCTGTGTCACCCAACTCTGCCTGTCAGTACCCATCATCAGTGCTGACTATCCATGCCACCTCATTAGTGCTGCCTATCAGTGCAGCCTCATCAACGCACATCAGTAAAGGGGAAAAATTACCTGTTTGCAAAATTGTATAGTAGAAACAAAGAAACCTTTTTTTTTTAAATTTTTTTGCTCTTTTTTTGTTTATAGCGCAAAAAATAAAACCCCCAGTGGCAAGTAAATACCACCAAAAGAAATCTCTATTTGTGAGGAAAAAAATGATAAAAATTTCATATGAGTACAATGTTGCATGACCACGCAATTGTCATTCAAAGTGCGACAGCGCTGAAAGCTGAAAATTTGCTGGTAAGGAAGAGGGTACAAGTGCCGGGTAGGCAAGTGGTTATATAGGCAATAATTGCCACCTGTTTTTCAAAGAATGAATGACCTCACTAATAGAACTCCACACTGCTATTATTTTGAACATGCCCCTTTCAATTAGTGATTCAATTACACAGAATCAGCAGCATGCATGTCATGACTGTTGGGTCTGTTGGATTTCTATTACTCTACTACACCTGCTAGGAAATTATCTGCCATGTAGAAATATAATTTCTACCAAAAAAACAGTGATTGATCAGGTTAGTGATATCTGACTGCTATTATTTTGAACACAACTGTATATATATGTGATTTTTTATTTTTGGGTGGGGGGGGGGTACGCCACCATTCGCAGCTGTTGATCACCGAGTCTCGGCTGGAGATTCCCCCCCCCCCCCCCCCGGCACTCGGTGATTGCCAAGGCACACTAATGGGAGAGGTCTGTGTGTAAACAATACAGATCTCTCCCCTATCAGCGCCAGCATGCTGCATAGCAGAGCAATACAAAGCAGCATACTTACACATTAACTCACACACAGCACAGTTTGTAAAACACACAGTTAACCCTTTGATCGTCCCATGTTAACCCCTTCCTGCCCAGTGTCATTAGTAGTGTCAGTGGTTTTTTATTAGTGCTGAGCACTGGGGATGTCAGTGGAAGTTATAAGTCGCTGATCGCCGCCATTACTGGTATAAAAAAAAATTTCAGTATACGCTATAACTTTCATATAAACCAGTTAACCACCTCCCGCCCGCCATATAGTAATATGATGGACACAAGGTGGTTCTCTCGTTCTGGGAGGATGCCATATAACGTCCTCCGATTCTCACCGCACATGCGTGGCGATCGGCGGTGCACGGAAACAGCGGATCACCGATCACGGAAAGAGCCGAAGATGTCGCCTCGGTCATGTGATCAGCTGTGTCCAATCACTGCTGATCACATGTAAACAGGGAAATGACAGTTATCGGCATTTCTCTCCTCTCGAGCTGTCACGCTGACAGCTCGAGAGGAGAGCCGGTAATCGGCTTTCCGCGGAGGGGACATGTACACTGATCATCAGGGCACTGATGATCAGTGTAGCCCCAGCAGTGCCTACCAGTGCACATCAGTGCCATGTATCAGTGCTGCCTTTCAGTGCCTCCTCATCAGTGCAGCCTATCAGTGCTCATCACTGCAGCCTCATTAGCGCACATCAGTGAAGGAGAAAAATCACTTATTTACAAAATTTTATAACAAAAACTAAGAAAACATTTTTTTTCTTTCAAAATTTTCAGTGGTTTTTGGTTTGTTTAAGAAAAAATAAAAAAAAAACCCAGAGGTGATTATATACCACCAAAATAAAGCTCTATCTGTCACACAAAAAAATGATAAAAAGTTCATATGGGTACAGTGTTCCATGACCGTGCAATTGTCACTCAAAGTGTGACAGCGCTGAAAGCTGGAAATTGGCTTGGGCAGGAAGGGGGGTATAAGTGCCCTGTAGGCTAGTGGTTAATTTACATGTTTTGGGATTTTTTTTTTTTTAGCAAAGACGTAGCAGAATACATTGGTCTTTTATTTAGAGCGCAAAATATAAAAAAATCAAGGCACTCAAATACCACCAAAAGAAAGCTCCATTTTTGGGGGAAAAAATATATAAATTTAATTTGAGTACAGCGTTGCATGACCACGCAATTGTCAGTTAAAGTAACGCAGCGTTGTATCGCAAAAAAATGGCCTGGTCAGGAAGGGGGGTAAATCCTCTAGAGGTCAAGTGGTTAACTACTGCTGTGATCACTCTTGGCTGTGTTTTGTTTGTTTTTTTCCCCTCCGGGAAGTTTTAATCCACCCCTTGCTGTACTGCTATACCCTGAGTGGCTTATTCTTAGAAAAAATGGAGGATGGATGTCAGGCTTTAGGCAAACTTTCTGCTAGTGGGTCCATAACAGTGTGTGGGTTGGGGAAGGGCTTCTTTCTCCCTTTAGGCACTTACCATAGCTCTTGTTTGAGCAGAGAGGAATTTCTGCCTCTGGCAGAAAACCCACTGCCATGTTGGAAACCTCTAGCCTCAAAGCCCACAAAAGACTCCATTTTCTTCTCCATTCTTTCTGACTGTTTTGGCTTTTGCCTTGCCACAGGACAGAGAGGAAGAGGAACTACCATTACCTGAACAAAGGGTAGAGGGAGTGTTTTCTTTTGATTCAGAAGAATCTCCGAAGGTAGAGGCCATTTCAGCCATTCTCTCTCCAAAACTCAGTACTATTTATACTGGTGGATGAGAAGTACTCCTGTTTAACCACTTGCCCTCCTGAGGATTTACCCCCCTTCCTGACCAGGTCTCTTTTTGCTATTTGGTGCGGCACTATTTCAACTGATAATTGCACGGTCATACAATGCTGTACCCAAACAAAATTTTCGTCCTTTTTTTCACACAAATAGAGCTTTCTTTCGGTGGTATTTGATCACCTGTGCAATTTTTATTTTTTGCGCTCTAAACAAAAGACCAAACATTTTGAAGAAAAACAATATTTTTTTACTTTTGGCTATAAAAAAAAATATATAGTAAACTCAATTAGTCATAAATTTAGGCCAAAATGTATTCTGCTACATGTTTTTGGTAAAAAAAAAATCCCAATAAGTGTATATTGATTGCTTTGTATGAAAGTTATACTGTCTACAAGCTATGGTATAGATACTGCAATTTACTCAATTTTTTTTTGCGCTGCACTAGTTCAACTGATAATTGCGCGGTCATGCAATACTGTACATAAATGACATTTATGTCCTTTTTTTCACACAAATAGAGCTTTTTTTTGGTGGTATTTGATCACCTGTGCGCTTTTTATTCTTGCGCTATAAACAAAAAGCGAAAAATTTTGAAAAAAAAAACTAATTTCTGTCAGAAAAAATATCCAAAAACCTCTAATTTCGTCATAAATTTAGGCCAAAATGTATTCTGCTACATGTTTTTTTGGTAAAAACAAAAATCCCAATAAGTGTATATTGATTGCTTTGTGTGAAAGCTATAGCGTCTACAAACTATGGTATAGATACTGCAATTTACACAGGTTTTACTGTCTGACTGCCTATCACATTTCTTGAGGTGCTAAAATACCAGGACAGTACAAACACCCCCAAATGACCCCTTTTCGGAAAGTAAATACCCTAAGCTATCTGCGGAGAGGCATGTTGAGTCCATGGAAGATTTATTTTTCCCACACGTTTTTGGAAAACGACAAAAACCTTTTTTTTTTTTTTACAATGTTGTCATTTAAATGATATATTGCTCACACAAGCCACTGGTATATGTGGACTTACACCCCAAAATACATTCTGCTACTTCTGCTGATTATGGGGATACCACATGTGTGAGACGTTTTGGTTGCTGTGACATTCAGATGGCAGGGTCAGAATTCGATGTAAACAACATGACATCCTGCCTTGTATCAATGGTTCAGGCTGGTGGTGTAATGGTGTATGGGATATTTTCTTGGCACAAACAAGGTGTACCTAATAAAGTGGCCGATGAGCGTATATTACAATTTTGGTTTTGGGTTTAATACTGCTTTAAATACTGGTCTGCTGAACTGAGAAGCACCTGGAGCATATGCCTTTGCTGGTTGATGTCTCTTTGTCAAACATATACAGTGCCTTGAAAAAGTATTCATACCCCTTGAAATGTTCCACATTTTTTCATGTTACAACCAAAAACCTAAATGTATATTATTGGGATTTTATGTGATAGACCAACACAAAATGGCACATAATTGTGAAGTAGAAGGAAAATGATAAATGGTTTTCAATTTTTTTTTTTCCATATAAATATCTGAAAAGTGTAGTGTGCATTTGTATTCAGCCCCCCCTGAGTCAATACTTTGTAGAACCACCTTTTGCTGCAATTACAGCTGCAAGTCTTTTTTGGGGGGATGTTTCTACCAGCTTTTCACATCTAGAGTTATATTTTTGCCCATTCTTCTTTGTAAAATAGCTCAAACTGTGTCAGATTGGATGGAGAGTGTCTATGAACAGCAATTTTCACGTCTTGCCACAGATTCTCAATTGGATTTAGGTCTGGACTTTAACTGGGCCAT